TGATAAAAATAAATTTATCTATTAGTAAGAATGGTGTCACTACATTTTCTATTTTAACTTTATTGTTACGTATGGATAAAAACTTTTAGAAGAAGAAATGATCCAAAAATTTAAAAATAATGATTCCTTAAATGGTGATTCCTTTTCCATTTACAACTTTTCAATTAATTTTTAATGTATTATATATGGTTATGGATATTGGAATAATAATTTTATCTTTCCTTAAGCATAATAAATTATATTTTAACCTTTGTTTTTGTGAAATGATAATTTTCTTTTCATTCGTACAACATATTGATTAATATATTAAATGTAATTATAATAAAACATGTTGTATGTAGTATGACAAAAGAATTCAAAAATTTTAAAAATTAAATAAATAGTAATCCTAACTTCTAAGAAATGTCACAAATATATATATATCATTTTCTTAGATATATATATATATATATATATATATATATATATATATATATATATATATATATATCTAAGAAAATGATATAAATTACATTAATGATGAAATGAAGATTAAGAAAAGAAGTAAAACAAATTAATAATAATATTGATGATGATAGGAGTTAAACAAATCAGTTTTTATATTTTGTAAATTTTCAATATAAATTTTTCAGTCTTTTAAAATTAGAAAATGCTAAAAAAATAAAACTAAAACTAAAAATCGAGGCAACAATTATTTTAAGGAAAAAATAACAAAAAATGTCAGAAACATTGATAAGAATAAATAAGTATCTATTGCTAAGAAGGTGTCACCCCACATTTTCTATTTTAGCTTTATTATTACATATAGATAGAAACTTTAAGATGAAGAATGATCCAAAAATTTTAAAAATAACAAATCAATTATGTAAAAATACATGTGTAATTCTTATAAAGTTATAATAACTAATTTCTTCAAATAAATAATTAAATGAAAGAAAAAAAAGTAATTAAGAAAATAATATAAATAACACTAATTGTGAGATTAATAGCATTGATGAAGAAAGGAACTAAATATGATCATCTTTTTAAATTCTTTTTTAAGAAAATATATATAAACTTTAATTAAAGATAAATAAGAAAAAAAAAACTTTAATTAAAGATACAAAAAATCAAGACAAAATAAAGGAAGAAAGAAATTAGAAGAATAATGAGGTTGAAAGAAATAATATCTAATTTTCTCTCTTTTCAAATCACAAAATAATTTTTTGCTTGTTCTCCTCCTAATTTGATACGAATTCCATAAATAGAATGATTTTTTCTCCAAATAATTTTTCTTACCCTTTGAAACACTAATCAGCCTTCTTATAAATTTCTCAACCACAATGAATTTTCTCTCCTTGTAGGAGGAATAAACATTTTTTCAAAAAGTCTTTTATTTTGAAAAGAATTTTTTGTTATATAATCTCTTTCTTTACATCAATATCTTCACAAGAATCATGAGATATTATCTCTTTCTCTTTTGTTAAAAAAGTCACATGACCTAGAAATTTGATGGACATCTTAGCGACAGAAGTTGATACCATATATTGATCATTATCGTCAGAAGAAGAAGAGCCAAAGTGAAGAAATTTGTTCTTATTTGTTACAAATGCTCAACTATTTTTTTTTATAGGCTAAATAATTATAAACAGTTATAAAAAATGAATAGTTTTTATCTTTTCATTTTCCATTTTCATTTACTTAAATCTATATTAGTGTAATGGATGTTATAAAGGGCATAATTAATCGGGTATGACATAAATACTTTTTTTTAAAATACAAATAAAAAATACAAACAAAGATAAAATGTCAAAAAAAGGAAAAAAAAGATGAATAGAAATACTGGTCATAGAGAGATGTCACATCAAATTGTCAATATTCAGCTTTATATATACATATATATGTTCATGTCCTTAGATGTTATTTTATTACTTTAGCTGGCATTGACATTTTTGTAAATCTGATATTTACTTTGGAACATTTTATAATGTGGCATAAGCTGACAATTGAGATCATAAATTTAAAATAATAAAATTTAATTTATTATAATACTAATATCAATATCATAAAGATATATATATATATATATATATATATCATTTAAAAAATATATAAAAAGTATTATAAATTGTAATAATTAACTGCTTTATTTTTTTTAAATCATATAACTAATTTGATTTACACTCCAAAATTCATAGGTGTCACATAATTTACACATTAATTCTTCATTACTTAATATATGTAATTATATCAATGACATATAAATTGAAATAAAAAAAATTACATATTTTATTTGAAAATCACGTAATAGTACTATAAGGTATAATAATTAACAACTTAACATATTTTAAAATTTTAGTTGACTCTCCGAATTCCATATGTCTCATGTAATTGAGACAGAGAAAAACATATATTGGTTTAAAATTAATAAAAATATTATAAATTATAATAATTAACAACTTAAAATTTATTAAAAAAATTTAGTTGGCTCTCCAAATTCAATCGGTATTACAATAATTAAAACATAGAAATTAACATAGATTGGACTCCTGCTGACATTTATGTTTCCTTTTTCTAAATTTTTTCTTTTATACTTTATATAAATAAATTTTTTATGTAAAAAGTATTATAAATCATAATAATTAATAGCTTAAAATATTTCAAAACATATAAAAAGTTTTTGTTAACTTTCAAAATTTCATCTATACTGCATAAATTGGGAGAAATATAGATATATAGATATTTTAAGTTGCTAATTATTGTGAGTTATAGTACGTTTTATGTAATTTTCATATATATTACTCGCTTTGTCCTGATTTATGTGATACAAATGAAATTTCAAAAGTCAATGAATTTTTTATAAGTTTTTTTTATATTAACTTGTTAATTGTTGTGATTTATAATATATTTACGTAAAACATACTCTAAATAAAAATAATTAGCAACTTAAAATATATAAAAACATACTAAAAAATTGATTAACTTCAAATTTCATATGTACCACATAAATTAAAGCAGAAACAGTAACATATACCGGCACGGGGTCCCATATCTAGTACTAGTACTAGTAAGTAGTATGAATAATAGGGGATATATTGTCATTAATGTTGCTTTTCCAATTTGACTTTTGTGTTAAGTTTTACAATTAGCATTAATGAAAATTGACTATAATATAAACAAGTGAACATCAATTAGTCCCTTGTTTTTGGTTAAAGTTCTTTAATCTCTGTAGAAAATGAGCAACCTTTTTTTTATAGAGATTATGCCATTTTCCCCTAATTTGTAGGTATATTATAATTTTGGTCCATCTGATATTTGATCAAGTATAATTTAACCTTCAATTGTGTGTTTAATTAGTTCTTTTATAAAAGAATTAAGTATGTCCTTTTAGAAATATGTATATTACCGTCAAATATGAAGTAATATATATTACATGCTTAACATAACAAATAATTAAGCTTGAAATGATTAATAATTATGGTAAATTTGTGAATATTAACAAGCAAAGGAATTAAAATTGTATATTTAATTAATTGAAGATTACATGTTTTTAGCGTCTTTTTTCATCAAAAATTAAAAGTCATAAGTAGATGATACTCTACTTTTAGCTTTGCCTTATTTTAAAACTCTTTTAACCCAAAAGTGAGCATTTAAAAACACTTTTTAACCTTTCTAAGCATCTTCAAAATTTTAAAAGTGTTTAAAAGTCAAAAACACCTAAAAATAAACTAATTCAAAGGGACTTAGTCAAATATTATAAGAATTAAAATTAAAATGTACCAATAATTAAGAGACTAATCTTAAGAGCAGAAAAGAGAAGCTTCAATCGGAGCAAACATTGTATCTATTTTGCAAGCATTTGCCTCCTCTCGACCCAAAAGTATTATGAATACCCGCTTTTCTTTTTATAGAAATTTTGTTCCAACCAACTTCCGTTTTTTCATATTTGCCATTTTCTTTAATGAAGTTTTATATTTTTTAGAAGTATATTGCATTATTTACAAAGTTATTTCACAAAGGTCAATAGTGAAAAATATGGTTTAAAATTATGTCCTTAAATGTTTTTCTTAATAGGTGTCATTACCTCACAAATTAAGTTACTCCCTCCGTTCATTTTTACTTGTCATTTTTTCTAAGATAGATTTTCATTTTTACTTGTCATTCTTGACGTATCAAGAAAAGACTATTATAATTTTTTTTTCATGTTTTACCTTCAACATTAAATACTTATTCTCCAAATCATTTTTCAACACGTAATATTAAACATCATTTAATAAGGATAGTTTGGTAAAATACTTATATCAATAATTTTTTTCTTAATAGGTGTGTCGAGTCAAACAACGACATGTAAAAATAAACGGATGGACTAATATGGAAAGGAGGAAGTAGTTAATAATCTTATTTTATTCTTCATCTCACATTTTTATAGTAGTCACACTGCATTAAAAATGATTTTTAGCGGCAATTAATTAACGGCAATAGCTTAATTGCCACAAAATATATGTTTTTAGCGGCAATTAACACTCTTTGTATATGTCCCTAAAGCCTTTAGCGACATTGAATCCAAATGGCAATTAACTAATACCGGTAAATGTTGTAACACTCTTTGTTAATATGTATATTTATTACCGCTAAAAGGTGTCTTTATTGTAGTGTCAACCCCGTACCCTACTTTTCTCGAAGGTTTATTCTTCAAGTTGTTATGTTGTGACATTATGTAATGACACAAAAAGATACAATCTATTCAAATACTATATTCATTAAAACATTACAATATAATACAAAAACAATAAGTAACAATCACCCAAACAGAGTGAAGTTTATTTATGTTACAGAAGTTACATTACATTACAGCCACACCCACACAGAAGACACAAACTTTATTTTAGGTACCAGTGGTACTCTTCACATAGCATATGATACAACTTAGAAAACTAAGTCCAAAATTGAAGACTCATATTGTTGTCCCCTTTTTTTCCTTCTTCCTTTGGTGCTGCCACAAAATATGATTCATCTTGATTCTATAATATTTCTTCAACCTCCCTTGCTGGCATATTGAATGACAACTCTTTTGCTTCTCTGTTTACATTTCTCCATATGCTTTCTTGACCTTATAAAACAATTGATAGTTTAATTTCTACGTACTGATAGTATACATAAATATTTGCAATTCCCTTTTACGTGATACTAGGACAAAGTTGATTGACTTTGTGTTACAAAAAATAGTTTAGTGACTTCGGTGAACAAACGAGGAAACTAGTAACATACCTGCAAGGAAGTTTAACATGTTGTTATGACCATTGATTCCAAAACCAACCATTCTGAGATTAGAATCGCCGTTGGCTATAACTGTTATAGGATATCCTGCCGGAATTACAAAAAAATCACCAACTGATAGACAACCTCGGACCGCCTTTTGGTAGTTATGGCCTCGTCTCTCCTGGCTTTGGCTACTAACCATTTCGAACCGCCCATTCCCTTGTGCAACCATTACCAACCATGTAGTCCTTGTATTGTAGACTGGTAATATCATTCCACCCTGAAAAATTAATGTACAGTACTATTATCCCCGTCATTACAAAGAAGTTAGGTTCAGCTATATAAATCCTTACGTACCATGCACATAGCTCCATTTAAGTTTCTATTTTAAATGTCAAAACCATAACAATCAAGATATATCAAGATTTTGTTTTTTTTTAGTGTTCAATTTGCTTCAGTTTATGTGACATCATTTTGTTATTAGTTCGTTTTGAAATGTATTAACACATTCCTATATTTGAAAGTTAAACCTATGAGTTTTACCTGAATGAGAAGCTTTTAGAGCTACACTAATCGTAGCCACATAAATGAGCCACACAAATGTTATATGACTTGTTTAAGACCAAACTATGTCACGTAAATTGAAACAGAGGTGACCGGGGCCAAATTAAGTGGCTTACTTGGTTGATGTTCATGATACCAACAGCAACATCCAAATCCCTCAAGTGTTCGAATCTCTCTGGGGCTGCTTCAAAGTATTGTCCAAATCTATTACCAATTAATGGGCGTTGGTTCAATACATTGACAGGACCTCGCGTTTCACCTCTAATGGAGCGCGAGCCGGGTTGGCTAATAGCTCGAATTTTCTCTTCACTGGCTTTGATTATTATCCCCTGTTTTTGTTGTCCAAATAGCCTCTCTAACCTGTTCCTTGGAGTCTAATGAAAATAATAAAGAAAAAGTGAGCATTTTAACCAACATAAAAAGGAGAGAAACATATTGAAAACATCTATTTTAAACTTGACGTAAATTATTAGTTTTGTTTCCGAATTATTGACGGTCTTAAAAACATCATTCTATTGAACTAACTGAACTTAAATACACACTTGATTTTGCCATATGAGTGAAATACACTCTTAAATTCTTGTCAAGTTTAGGGGTGTTTTCAATACTTCTCTCGACTTTTTATTATGAGTCTCAGCTCGATCTCCTACAAGAGTTTGAGAACACTTGATATGCCATATGGCAGATCGGGATGTATTTGACTTCAGTTAGTCAAATAGACCTGTGTTTTTAAGATTCACTACAACAAAAACAACTTTTAGCGGCAACAAATATTGATATTAATAAAGAATGCTAAAGTCTTTACCGGCATTAGTTAAGTGTCATTAGAATCAATGTCGCTAAAGGCTTTAGAGACATATACAAAGAATGTTAATTGCCGCTAAAAATATATATTTAGCGGCATTTAAGAATTAATTACCGCTAATGATCATTTTTTATGTAGTGACTATTAATAGTTCAGGAGTGAAACTAATAATTCACGCCAAGTTCAGAAGTGTTTTCAATGCTTATATATCTCTAACGAAGCTCACATTGAAAGCAGTTTCCAGGATATCGTTGCTGAATGCTCTGTAGAAGGTTTCTTGATTTTCACTTCCAGCACTAAAGAATTCCTGAATAAATATGATGGATATGAACTCGTAACTTTAAAAATATAATGAGTTAATTCTAAAAACATTTTAAAAATATAATTCACAAAATTCAAATTCTGAATACGCCTATAATTACCTGAAACTTGCCAGGAACGTTAACGGCCTTGGCTAGCACGTAAACCGAGAACTTTTCTTTGTTATCTGTGTTGGTGAAGTAGATTGTTGAACCTGCAGAAACACTGATTACATCTCCATGCTCTAAGTTGAAGGAGTTCTTCTCATCTTCTTCTGCTATACTTACACTTCCTCTCCCTGTAAGAACCAGGAAAAAAATGACTCTTTCTTGTTTCGATTTATGTCACATGATTTCTCTTTTAGCCTGTCTACAAAAGAGGCTTCTAAATTTGAAAACAATTTAATTTATACTTTTCATTTAAGTTTTTATAATCACATAAATATGATATTAACTTGGTTTCAGCTGACATCTATGCGACTATGCCCTTCAACTTTGAGTATGTTGCAAGTAAACACTTAAACTTGTATAAAATTGAACAAATAGACATATTCGTCTTATTTGGTGTCATACATGACAATTTTGTGTCTTATGTGCGTCATATGTGTCTACTTATTCAATTTTATACAAATTTAAGTATTTACTTGTGCTTGGAGGACATATATGTCCGTTGAAGGCATGTTTATGCATCAAAAGTTTAAAAAATTTATTCCATACAAAGTCTGTAACAAGCTTTAAAAAAATTTATTTCTAAACAAAAAGTTGTAATGTTAAATTTCGTATTGATCATTCAAACAATATCACATAAATGAAAACAAAGAAAATGGACGTACCTCTAACAATAAGAAGTAAGAGTTGAGCATCAAAGTGATGAGGAAGCATGAAAGAAAGAGGTTCAAATTCAAGTACTCCAACTCTGTAATTTTCGATTCCTCGAAGAAGTTGAGTGAATTTATTGAGGACTCGAAATTCACCATGTTTTGATTTGAATCGAGATTTAAACATATGTGATTCAAATAAGTAAGGATTGTTGTTCTCTTTTTCATGATCACATTCACATTGACAAGCAATAAACATAGAGATGAGGATCAACAAGAAGAAGAAGACAAATAAAAGCTTTGGTAATTTAGTGAAAATTGCCATAGTTAAAATATAACTATTTGAACTTGTGATGGAAACTTTATTTCTCTATTTTTGATGGGGATTGAAGAGAATTATTTTGATTTTGCGTGGGAAATTTAAATGAGGGAATTTGAAGATGGTCAGTTTGAAAGTTTGCATGCAAGTTGACAAGTGTTGAATTGAGAACACTAATGAAAGTGCAAGTGTGATAATAATAGCTGCCTGCACATGAATGTCACATGGAGTATGGTGAAAAGGACAAATTTATCTGGTGGGTTCGATTCGATTTTAAAGTGTACTATCGATTTGTATGCATAGTTAGAAAATCATTAAGATATTAATTTATCTGTTATTCGAAAACTTTGTAAAGGACAAGGCTAAACATGTTAACAACTTTACACAAAATCACGATGCTTTTGCCGATTGCTGTCCTCTTCGTTTTGTTCTTTGTATCACATGATGACTCAAGATGAAATTTGGCTTTTGGAGTTTTATGTAAAGTTTTAACATGATATAGATATATATATATATATATAGTTGATAGTTCTAATTGCTCTCAATTAAGAGAACTTCATTAGATGCAAACTGAAAAGTTTAAAATCTACAAAAAAAAATAATCAAATATAAGTATCAATCTAATTGTAAGAGACCCGGGAAAAAAAGTGGCATATGTAAAGAGTACTAGCATACATACATATAAAATGAAAGGAGTATCGATTTTCACTATTTGAAGTTGTAAACCAAATGTGAAAGAAACATGGTTTGGACGACAAGAGAGGACTTTAAGATGGTAGATTCAAAGAGTAAAATAAATATTTGTTCAGATAGTAAACATTATTCACCTCCACTTTTAAATCAAATCGTGAATTCAAATCACTACAAAAAAAAAAAAAAAAAAAAGGAATTCATCATTCACATTCAGCAAAAAAGCAAAAGAAGTTGAAACAATCAGAAAAAACCTTTACTTTTAAAATCATGAATTCGAATCGCCAAAAAAAAGAAAAAAGGAATTCATCACTCACATTTAAACTTTCAAGATGATTGATTTAAGTCGATGAAAGAGCAAATTTTAAAATTATAAATTAGAATTATCACTACTCAACCAAAAAAGGAGGAATACAAGAGTTAACAGAGCAAGGAGTTTTATTTATGATGCAAAAGTTACAGTGCACACGACAACATACATACTACAAGAGAGTCCAAAAACCCTCTACAACTCCTAGACCACATTTATTTTAAGGAGTTACATTAGTAGGAGTACATACTTCTCTTTAAACTAGGAGCCTCTTCTTATTTACTCACAAAGCTCTCTTCACTTGGCACAAATGCATATCTGCATTGCGCATTTCTTCCATTAACATACATTTTATTTAGAAAACAAAGTCCAAAATTGAAGACAAATATTGATCTTGTCCCCTCCTTCCTTCTTCACCCCTCTCCCTCTGCTGGCGATGCTCCGGTCCTGCCACAAAGTAGGACTGGTCTTGCTTCTGCAATATCTCTTCTACCTCCCTTCCGGGCATGCTGAAGGATAGTTCTTTCGCTTCCCTCTCTACGTTTCTCCATATGCTTTGTTTACCTAAAGAGGAAGTTCACATTATCAGGTCATTTAAAAAATTTACTAACAAATTAGGAATTGTCTTGCAACACAAGGAACTAGTAGGATATATGTGAGTCAGAGATATTTCAGCTCTAAATGACAAAATTGAAAAACTAGAAAGTATACCTGCAAGGAAGTTCTTTTTGCTGTTCTGAGCATCGACTCCAAAACCAACTATCTTCACATTTGAGTTTCCGGTTGCTACAAAGGTGATCGGATGGTCTGCTGGGATTACCAAAACATCACCAACGTTTAGATTACCGCGGATTTTCTGGTAACGGACTTCTCCTTCTTCTTGTTCTTGTTCTTGTTCTTGCTCTCTTCCTTGTCCACGAGACCATGGGCTTTGGCCTTGTCTACCAAGATGAGGACATGCCATTTCAAACCGAGCGTTTCCTTCTACAACCATAACCAACTTTGTAGATTTTGTGTTGTAGTATGGTAGCACCATTCCACCCTACAATAACATTTCCGAGTTTTTCAACTCAACTTATATACACCAACAGTATAAATTTTGCAAAAAGGCTTGAGATATCAAAGAGGCGAGGCTTACTTGGTTAATGTTCATGAAACCAACAGCAGCATCCAAGTCCCTCAACTGCTCAAATCTTTCGGGACATGCTTCAAAGAACTGTCCAAATTTGCTTTCGAATAATGGGCGTTCCTTCAGCAAATTGAAAGGTCCTTGTGTTCTACCTTTAGTTTGCTGAGTGGAGCGTGAGGCGTGTTCGCTTATAGCTCTAATTTGCTCTTCACTAGCTTTGATTATTATCCCCTCCTTGTGTTGTCCAAATAGCCTCTCTAACTTGTCCCTTGGGTTCTAATCAAAACAATTAATTAAGAACACTAAATATATATGTATAAAAAAAGAAGACCCAATGTAATAATAATTAGTTAAAAGGAAGCTCACATTGAAAGCACTCTCCAGGATATCGCTGCTGAATGCTTTGTAGAAGGTCTCCGGATTTTGACCTCCGGCACTAAAGTATTGCTGAATTCAAGACAAAACACATTTTAGTATCCGATCGATAACTTCTACCAACAACAACATCATATTACTACTACTAGTTGTAGTATTATGATTCAAAGAAAATATTCGTTACCTGCAAATTTCCAGGGGCATTGACGGACTTGGCGAGCACGTAAACAAACAACTTTTCGTTGTTATCTTTGTTGAGCATGTAGACATTTGAACCAGCAAACACCCTGATTACATCCCCCTTCTGCAAGTTGAAGGAGTTTTTGTTATCTTGTTCCGCTATACTAATTATTCCTTGTCCTGTAAAAAGTTGAAATTTAGATAAACATTTCACTTAAGAACATTATGAAAATGAACATGACTAAATTACCTTTAACAACAACATATATGGCTTCACCATCACAGTGATGAGGCAATACGAAAGACTGAGGCTCCAATTCGAGGACGGAGACACGGTATTTTTCGATTCCTTTTAGAAGTTGAGATCTTTGATTGAATTTCTCGAGGATACGGAAATCACCATGACTAGCTCTGTATCGAGACCTGAACCTTTGAGACTCGAATAAATAAGGATTATTCGATTTTTCTTCTTGTTCCCACTCTGGGTTAGTTTCAACTTGTTGTCCTTTCTCTCTTTGGTACTCTTGTTGACAACGTTGTTGACACTCTTGCAGTTGTTGGCCCTGTTGTTCAATCTGGCACCTACGTTGGCACTCTTGGAATTTTCTATATCTCTTCTCAGGTCCACGATTGCCTGTTACGAAATTAAAAATAAAGACTTTAATTTTCTAATTCTAAATTTAAGTGATGTCAAATGTATCACATTATCCTTTTATGGACTTAAAAGATGTAATATAGTAAGTCGAAATTAAAGTGTTACGCCAAAAATAGAAGGGTCCTTGTTTTGAAAGAGACTTAAGTTTCAAGACAGAAGGAAATTTTGAAATTGAGGAATCAATAATTATAAAAATGTATTTTTCTTCATTATGTTGATAAGAAAAAAATTGTAATTTATAATATTCTTCATATAACTTTTTATCGGCTAAAATTTAATTCTAAAATATTAAATAAAAGTTCTTTATACATTTTTCATTATATTGATGGGAAAAAAGGTTGCAATTTATAATTTTTTCAAAGAAGGGCACACCATAACAACTAAAAAAGAACAAAGAGACAACATAACCACTAAAAAAGAACAAAAAACAATATAAAAAGATTATACAATGTACATAGAGATTAAAAAAAAAATCATTCGTTGAAGAAAACGTTTTTTTAAAAAAATTAATAAAAAAGTATATATACAGATACATTAAAATACTTTTTAAAAAAAAATAAGACAAGATAAATTAAAACAAAAAAAGGCACTATAACTAACATTACCTAGATCATCTTCACCAGTCTCCCTTTCATGTTGTTGTTGTTGCTCTTTCTTATACTGCTGTTCACAACGTTGTTTACACAACTGTTTCTGTTGGCCTGGTTGTTGCCTCTCACAACGTTGTTGGCACTCTCTGAGTTTCTCCTGAGGGTCTTGATCACCCCTAGGGTTTTGATCATAGCATTGAGATACAACGACCAAAGAGAGGATCAAGAAGAAGATAAATAAAAGCTTTGGTTTTGTGAAAATTGCCATAGTGAGTGAAAAAGTTGTAGTAGTAGTGATGAGAAGTGAGGAAATGTTGATTTAGTGAGGGGGAATTTATAGTGGAAGAAATAGTGCATGCATGCATGCAAATTGACAAGTGTTGGAAGTGAAGAGTAAACGTGGAGAGGTAAATGGAGTGAAGTTGAAGTGTGAGAAGATAAGGCTTAGCTATATTAGCTGGCTTGATGACGTGGAGTTACAAATTTTAGTGTATGAAATATTCTAAATGATACTTATAAATTTTATTGGAGTTAAATAATCTTTTGTTTGATTATAGCTTCTTTAAAAAAAAAAGTTATTGTATAGAAATAATATATGCGAATTAGGGTAGTATTTAGATCGGAGAGAATGGAGGACATGTATTAGAATAGAAGGTTAGTAGGTAATATAGTGTTATTTTGATTAAGGTGCATGGTTGGTGTTTGTTGTTGTACTAATTGATTTAGTTTAAAAAATGAGATCAGGGTTAGGACAGACCCGCTATTATAAAGTAATTTTCCGACGAAGGGGTATCTCTTAACCCCAATGCATTGTGGTAGAGCTAGAAAATTTCACGAAAGGTGTTCAGCTATTGAGCTATAATAATAACTTGTTGTGTTAAAAGTGTCCAAAATATGTTATTTGATCACTTTGTGTATCATTTTACTTATATATACGCTACTTTCTTTCCTATGGTAGATTTTGCACTACTTTCGTATGATCCGCTATATTTTTTTATTTGTACGCAAAGATCATCTTTCGAAAATAACCTCTCTGCCTCTGACTATATACGTGTCACGTGAATAAGGGTGTTCGGAGAATTAATAATGGACAAAGAATTGATCATATTATAATAAGATTATTAGCTGGCGCTGTGCTGTAGAAATATGCGGCGAGTTGATAAGTATTGATTCAATTTTGATGATTGCAGGGTGAATGTGGAGAATTGAAATAGGTGCCTAATTCTAATTTCTCTTCTTCCAAATTATCCAACTTTTAATTTCACTAAAGACAGATCTAAACTAGACTCAACAGAGATGTACCATATACCATCAGGACAAAAATAATTCATTATGAAATTCAACATTAATCTATCATTAATAATTTGTAGCTAATAACCATCATATATATTAAAAATAGAATAATTGATAATTTATATTAAATATGATTAATATTAACAACGAAAGTTATTCATCACTAATTTTTGTTTTTTAAATAAGTGATAGACAAATTTGAATTATATATTGTGAGCTTATTATATCTTTTTAATCTATTTTTAAAAAGTACTTAAGCATGTAGCCTAAGCCTAGTAGTCAATAAAATAGTTAAAAATTCACACACACATATATACTTAAATTTACATAAATTGTGCTTGCCTCGCAATTGAAATGGCATACGAGTCAGAATGTTACTGCTCGAGTAAGGATCCAAACTAACCACACAAATCGAATAACACTCATGCGCATCGTGCCATATAGACTCACTCAAATGGAGTTAATTAACCTTAAATGTGAATGAATGTATTAAGAATAACAGTACACGTACGGTTTCTATTAATTAATAACACCATAAACTAATTAATGTTTAATGGAATATTTTTATTTTTGTTAAGTAGTATGGTTGTTGAGGTAGTGACAGGTGAAGTACATATCAATTAATAATGAGGCAAAAAATATTAAATTTATTTTTGAATAAATCAATTGAGACAAAATATTTACATAAGAAGATGTGTTGAGCTAAAATACAAAAAGTATACACGTGATGAAGAAAACACATGGCAAGGAAGACGCATGCATAAACGACGAAGGTTTGCCTCTTCATTTGTAATTTACTAAATATAGTTTATATGCAAAATGACACTATTTGCCGCATCCCAAGAAAAAAGACATTCTAGCTGATGCAAATGTAATAATTAAAGCATGCGTTATATATTTATACTAGTAAAGAAAGCCCGGGCGCTCCCCGGGCCCAACATTAATAAAGTTATATTGTTACTCTCTCCGTCCCATAGTAGATGAGAATCTTACTAAAAAAAAAGTTTCATATTATTTGAGCACTTATTAAATTAGGATAGAATTATTTAATTCTTTTCCATTTTACCCTACAATTAATATGACCATTCCTATATTGTATGTGTATTTTTTGTAACTCATTTCAATGTGCATTGATATAAACAAAGGGTAAAATGGTGAAGTCTTCCAATGTATTACTGATTTCTTAATCACCGTGTAAAGTTGGAAGTGTCCATCTAATATGGGACGGAGAGAGTATAGTTTATGTATTGTTATAAAATTAGTAAAGATTGTTATAATATATTTTGCTCATAAGTGAGCTAATATAAAAACTTATTTGTCATTTGTCTTTTTAATTTCAATTTCAAATAGCAAATAAATGTACCGATAAGATTGAGGGTAGAAATGAAACATATCTTTCTAAATTTAAGTAAAAATAAACAGAGTAGAAGTAACATTAGGGTTATCGATAGGACGATTCATTCGGTTATTTTTAAAAAAATTATATCATTCAATTTTTCGGCTATTTTATAATGTATAACCAAAATTAAAATTTTAAAATCATCCCAATCCTAATTTATGTGACACAAGCAGTACAAAAATTAGTCTTTTTTTTGTTGTCTTGTAGATATTTTAAGTTATTAGTTATTGTAAATTATAGTACTTTTTATTAAAGTTTTTAATAGCATATGTTACTTTTTATGTTTGAGAGTTAAACCAATTTTTTTTTATATGTCTTTTAATTTTATATGTGTTTTGTCCTTTTCCATTTTCAAAAACTAATACTCTGTCCATTTCATTTTATATGTCATTTCTTTTTATAAATATATTGGTTATTCCCTCTTCTTATGTCATATATTATGAAATTTGAGAAGTTATTGAAATTTTTATATGATTCTAAAAATATTTGAAATTGTTAGCTATTGTGATTTGTAGTACCTTTTTTTTTTACAGAATTTTGAAAATAATATTTATTACTCTCTTTGTTCTAATTTATGTGGCACATGCAAAATTTCAAATATTAACCATTTTTTATATGTCTCTTTACTATATTAAGTTGTTAATTATTGTATTTTATAGTACATTTTGAACTTAATTTTTAAAGAATATATGTTATTTTCCATGTCCCAATTTATGTGGCATTAATTGATAGATTTGTTGGAGTCGAGAGAATTTTTTTGTTAATTATTGTAATTTATAGTTTCTTTTTCGTCGATTTGAAACAATATATGTTCTTAATTGATAGATTTTTTGGAGCCGACAATTTTTTTTGTTAATTATTGTAATTTATAGTTTATTTTTCGTCAATTTCAAACAATATATGTTTATCATATAATCCATTTTATGTGGTAGCAATAAAATTTAGAGAGTCAATTAAAATTTTTATATAACTTTTAAATAGTTAAGCTATTAATTATTGTAATGTATAGTATTACTTAGATTATTTTTGAATATAAATGTTACCTTTTTTATCCTAATTCATATGGCATTGATAGAATTGAAAGTATCAAATAATTGTTAATTATTGTAATATGATATGTAGTACTTTTTATGTAGTTTTTACTATTTTTAAGCATACTAAGTATAGTATTACTTATATTATTTTTAAATATATTTAAATCTACTACTTATATATTTTTTTTTAGTAGATAAGTGTGAATGTGAGGGTATTTTTAAATACCCAAAATACCCTCACTTTCACACTTATGTTCAACCCTCTCCTTTTTTTTGGTGCCATGTGTCGAAAGAGGAGTGAATTTATTCACTCTTCTTATATAGTAATACAGACAAACTTTATTGGTGTACCACTATAACAAATATGATACACCCTCCGTCCCATTTTATGTGAGGTAATTTAACTCGGTATGGAGTTTAAGAAAGAAAGGAAGATTTTTAAAACTTGTGTCCAAAATGAATTATAGAAATTTGTGTGGCTGTAAATCATTTCATTAAGAGTAAAATAGACATTTTATAGTTAAATTGTTACTTAATATAGAAATGTGTCATTCTTTTTGGGACTGACTAAAAAGGAAAGTAAGTCACATAAATTGGGACAGAGGGAGTATTTAATTATGAAATTACTCTATCCGTTTTAAAAGGAATGACCTAGTTTAACTTGGAATGGAGTTTAAAAAAGAAAGAAGGCTTTTTAATTTTATGGTTCTAAATTAAAGTTATGTCAAATGTACCATAATGCATTTTAATCTTGTGGCCTTAATCATATTACGTGAAAAATTAAAATTAAAGTATTGTAAAAAAAAAAACGGATCATTTTATTTTGAAATAGACTAAAAAAAGAAATTGGATCATTTTTTTTAAACAGGGGAGTACTAGTTAGAGCATAAAAGTCGTCATTAATTATTCAATTTTTATGACGAAAATCATATTTTGTAGCTAAATATACAAGGAGTCGTCACTAGTTATTCATTTTTTATGACTAAAATCATATTTTGTAGCTAAATATATGATGCATAAATTCTAAGTGACTAAATATAAAATTTCATAGCAAAATTTTATCGGTTTTCACTAAAAAAAATAAGTTAACACCTTTATTGAATATTATTAGCTACAAATATAAAATTATCAATACCACATTGTTTTGTACCAAATGATGTACCTAATTTATAACAACTAATCAAAACTTGGACACGTAAAATTTTCGTGACATAAACTATGTTGATTAGGGGGTTGTTTTAATGAACTTATAAAGTGCTTTGTTAAACAAAATGATTACGCCCATATAAATGAAAAATAAATAAATTCAATCACCCAAATACATCACTAGAGACTTCACTATGTTGTAACAATCATTTTTTGAATAGTGTAACAATTCTTTAATCAGCTATGCAGCTTATCTATTAAAAATATATTGTCTTTGTGAAGTTATCCTATATTGAAAATACATTTAAGAAATTCTTAAGTTGATTTTAGGTAATTATTCTGTGTAATTTTCAAATTTCAACTATAAATTCACGTGTTTGAAAGTATTGTCAAACCTTAGTAAACGATGGATTAGAACAATT